TTTTTATATCTCAAAAGCATAATATATATATATATATTTACTGATTTACTGTTGTTTTTTCTGAAAAAGTAGAATGTGTTGCTTAGTTTATACCAATAAAAAACTTAATATATGAAATACTACTATAAAATCAATGGATGAAATATATTCTTTGAAATGTGTAATAAATGATATATTGTACATTTCAAAGAATATATTTCATCCATTGATCCATACATGTCCATTTTTATATATATATATTATTTTTTCCAACACCAGAAATTAGATTCAGTGTGAGAAGCATTTAACATCCAGTGTGATGTGTTCCCTCTCATCTCAAAAGTTGTACTGTTTACAAGATGGTTATTCTAATAAATATTGATATAAAAAAATTCAGAAAACTTAATATGCCAAAATTTATTCATAACTTTCATATTCATTGATAAATTTTAAAAATAACTTTGATACCACTATGTATGTAATATCTTTGTATGTTTTAGCAGATGTCCATTGCACTTACAACACGCCATGTGCTGATCATTGGCCTAAAAATGGCACATAAGTCAGCCTAGATCTATGAGTCCTAATATACACAGTGCCGTATCTGAATTAACTATTAGTCAGGGGTGGCCCTAGGGTGGTGCAAACGGTGCGACTGCACCAGGCACCGTCATAGTGAAGGCACCAAAAATGCAACAATAGATTGTCTGCGAAAAAAATAAAACCCGATCACCTTATTACTACTTAACCCTACCCNATTAACTATTAGTCAGGGGTGGCCCTAGGGTGGTGCAAACGGTGCGACTGCACCAGGCACCGTCATAGTGAAGGCACCAAAAATGCAACAATAGATTGTCTGCGAAAAAAATAAAACCCGATCACCTTATTACTACTTAACCCTACCCACCAAAATATATTTTACTTTTTTCTTAATTTGTTTCAATTTTAAATTAATTTACGATGTAAATTTGTCTTTTGCGTGATGCGAGTGTTGTCTGTGCCATAGCAGTTTAAATAAATATTGTTATGAATATCGCCTTATGAAAGAAATTAAATAAATATTGCCTTATGAAAGAAATATTGTTTTTTTTTTTTTCACTGTTATTGTTCCTCATCCATACTAGTACTATGCTATAGATTTTACACAAGAGTGAGATGGGTTGTGAGAATATAAAACATGATCCTGAAATGTGTGCTATATCTCCATAACCTAAAATTAAGAAATTCCATTGACGGAGGGAAGGGAAAAAACATCAACAGCTTGCAATACATCTGAATTAATAAGGGTCAAATTAACTCTCCATTTACTGTTGTTATCATTTCTCATCCATAGTATTACTATACTAATCTTTTGGAGGTCTGAGTTATTAATAATGTGAAAAATATATGTTATCAGTTTAGTCTCTACAGGGGGGCACCACAATGAGATCTTGCACCACCTGAAAACCTGGCTAGGGCTGCTACTGCTGTTAGTATATGTTGTGCAGTGTTGTGTCTGCAGTGTCTGATGGACTATGTCTTGTGTTTTTTTCTACTGTTGTGTTGTGTTTACAGTCTAGCTAAGAGTGTTGTGTCTGGAGCAGTAGTACATCCAGACAAGTGTTGGGTCAGCTGGACACCTCTCGTCTGCTTTTGGTTGCTTGACTTGTTATAGAACTGTCCGCCCCTTCCTTCCCCTCCGGTTGTCCTTGCCAGCAGGTGCCTTGTTTTGAACTTGCAATTGGAGAGAAGTTAGACAGTCATAGACTGTCTTATTCGGCCAGTGGTTTTCAGCTCATTCATAAACCTGCTTAAGGCTTAGCATTAGCTTTTGAAAAATGCATTATTCTGAAATTCCACAGACTAATTTTAAATGCATTTTTTGATGTTAATGTTTAAATTTAAAATTTTCAATCCATAAAAATAAGTATATTTTAAAGCATATAATTTATATATTGCAAAATTATTATTGAATATAATTAAGCCCTAATAATTTACATCCTCTCTCCATATAAAGTTTCCCTTTGTATCTAGGAGTTGTTGAAGATTGACCTCCAGCCACTGGAAAGGGAATAAGAGTCTTTATAATTAATGCATTCATTTTTTAATGTTACTCTGTAGATCTCTAGTGTTTTGAGTAAACTTAAATGCTGCTCATCCAAGGCTGATTTTATAATCTTAGCTTCGTTTAGTATCATAGACATCCTGGGCTCCATTGCAAACTGTGCCAAAGTAGTTGTTAGTTTATTATTGTCAATATCATATTTGTCCCCACCCTAGTATCTCCACCTTATCTTGATGCTGGGGTTTGTGTGCCTTGATGACCCTGAGGGTTTAACTGGTGGTAGCCATAGCTATTGGCTGAGTCACGCATGCCAGAAAAGTTGCAAGTGAGAAGCCAGACTAAAGGAGTACCTTGGTCTTCCAGGTTGAGGATTGGGCAAAGTGCTAACAACTCCTTCCCACAAAAAAAAAAGCTCTTGTTAAAGATGGACTAAAGTGGAGAGAGCTTCATGGATTAAAGTGAATGGACTATGCCTCATGTTAAAAGATGTAAATGAAGTGAAATTCAGTGTATGGAATGTTCAGGGCTTGTCTAAGTTGAAAGAGCAACAGCTATTGAACATAATGAATGAAAGGAAGATGGATGTATTGTGTGCATCTGAAAGGAAATGTAAGAACAAATGCATTGGATGAGTGGAAGAGTTTTTAATATGTATCCTTTAAACATGTACATGTTTTAACCTTTGAAATCTTCTTTTAAAAATATTTTCTTTCTTAATTAATTTAATTAATAAAACCATGATTGTCACAGTGATGATGATTTAGAATTTTTATACATGTTCTACATTCTATTCAAATTCATTTGAAAGTTTTTTTGTAATTTTCAAAGTCCAGTTATTTGAATGTATGAATTTATGAATGAAAGTATTTACAATATTTAATTAAAGTTAAGTTGAATTTTGTTTTTAACATTTTATTTTGTAAATTTTTATACACTAGAAAATAAAAGTAAAATTTTAAACTAACCAATTGTTTGCATATAAGTAACTGGATCACTCCAAAGACCATTACTAACAGCATAAACATTAAACTTGTATGTGGCACCAGGATATAAATCATCAACAATCATCCAAGTTTGAGTAGTGGTATGTTCTTCCTTTTCTTTTGTATCATTTCTACTATATATAACTGAATACCATTCTTGAAGACTTGTGACATCTGCTTTCCATGAAATATTTAAACTTTGCTTGAGTGAATCTGAACTTTCAATGACAGGTGGAGTTGGTTCTGTTAATTCAGAAAAAGTTAATTATAAGATGATATCAGTGGACTTGTTAATACAACATTAAAAATCAATTCATTTATAGATCTATTCAAATCATTTAATTTTAGATGTTACAGATTATAACCTTATCTCTCATCACCCAGCTGTCTGTCTGCTTTATGGGCATTGGAAAAGATCCTTTTAGTGCCTACAAGGTTGAGAAATATTATATTTATAAAAAAAATAAGCACAGCAAAAAATGTAGCTTATACAATTTGACTATTCAAAATTTAAAAATATATTTCAGTTGCAAACATAAAATAAAGTAATCCTCAAGTAAGCAAAAAAAAAAAAAGACAAAAATAGAAAATAAAAGTATACTGCAATGTTCATATCATTATACTTTGCTGTAAACAGACCACACAGATTGAATATCAGAAAAGAAATGGCTAGATGGCTGAAATTATTAAGATGTCACCTATATTGTTCTGGAGGACCTGGAATCAAATTCAGGTGAGCAATCCCAGGAATTTTTCATGAGTTGACGAATACATTGGCCCAACCCCCTTACTACCCAACTCTGCCCCATTGTGGATCTGGTGAGATAATGGGTATGGAAAATAGTCCTCTTAGTGTCCACATGGTGGAAAGTCAAAAATGAGAGGAAAAAAATGTAAAAATTGCTGTTGCACACGTATCTAGGAAACTGGAAGTTCAGAAGCATTCACCTGTTTTGTTTTATGCTATGTGCTAATAAGCAAATAGATATTATACAAAATGCTTAGTTTCATTAGACAGAAGCTGAAATATACATCCATTTCAGCATCTGCACAAACCAGGTTAGCATTTCAAGAAATGACTAGAAAAAGATAGATTTGAATCAAATGCTTATTACAGGCTATGCTAATGGCTTCAATAAATGGCAAATTAATATATAAATATTAGAAAAAATATACTCATATAACCTCGAATAGAATTTTTTGAATTGCTTGATAATTGGTAGGAGGTAAAGTGCTCACTCATGAATTTTATACTCTTGTGTTTAAGGTATTTTAAGTTTAATTGTCACCTACCTCAGGTTACAGAGGCCAAAAACACTCATGATGATAAATTTTCTTTGCTTGAAGTGTATGAAAGATGTAGTTTTACTAAAATATTTCAAATTTCAGATGAAATCAAAAAATGCTATCAGTGTAACTTTTATTTATAAATAAAATGTATGAAAGTTACATTACATTATGTAACTTTCATACCTTTACATGTTATGATTATTTTCTTTTGGAATTCATTGCCAATAGATTTCATAAGTTCCATAAATTACATATTATTAGAAATCAAAAGTGGGAGAGATTACATTTTGATTTGATTATGATCTTTAAATTCTGCAAATAATACAGTTAGCATTGTTTGGGATCATTTCTTATGGAATCTTTGTGCATCAAAGTTTCCATATAAAAATTAGTTAACTGATTAAAATTGATATAATAATATAATGTAATGGGGACAAATTTAGAATGAGAGATTATAAAAATTTTCAATTAATAATTTCAAATATTCAGTATATATAATTTTTCTTTACTAGATTTAAACGAAAGCAAGTTTTAATTCCTGCATTTGAACATGAATATAGGCATGGTTTTCAACATATTTGTCCGAGGTAAGATATAAATTTTGCTATTTTATTTCCTAAGTTACCTATTAAAATATTTCTCCTCCTTACTTTAAATTTCAGATCACACAAATAAGAAACAAAAATATAGAATAATTATGTTTAATCTTTCACTTCATTAAATACGAGGGATGATAAAAAACTAAGGTTACAAAGCCTGCAGTGAAAAGTGTACATTTTATTTCATACAACCAATACAGCCAACTGATAGTACAGTACATACATTAGGTTATTTTTCGACATAGTCTCCATATTGGTTTAGGTACTTGTCACTTTGTGTGATGAGTTTGAAAATTCCCTTCAGGTAAAAATCCTTCCCTTGCATGTTCAGCCAAGTTGTCGCAAAGTGTTTCACTTCCTCATCTGAAGCAAATCATTGTCCTGCTAGGTTCTCCTTCAAGTGAAGAAACAGGTGAAATTTGCTTGGAGCGAGGTCCTCATACAGCCCAGAAGACCACCAAGCTATTGAAGCAGTTTTGCTGGGACATCATCGACCACCCTCCCTACAGCCTGAACCTTGCTCCAAGCGGCTTTCATCTGTTTCCTTACTTGAAGGAGAACCTAGCGGGACAACAATTTGCTTCAGATGAGGAAGTGAAACACTTTGCGACAACTTGGCTGAACACGCAAGGACAGGATTTTTACCTGGAGGGAATTTTCAAACTCATCACACGAAGTGACAAGTGCCTAAATCGATGTGGAGACTATGTCGAAAAATAACCTAATGTATGTACTGTATTATCAGTTGGCTGCATAGGTTGTATGAAATAAAATGTACTTTTCACTGCAGGCTTTGTAACCTTAGTTTTTGATCATCCCTCATATATTTGTTGTATTCATTTATTCCGTTTGTTTTAGATTATAGAAATAATAATCATAGAATTATTGTAATAATATAAAAATTGAATAGAATAGATGTAGGGTTATGAATATTATTACTTTATAAAACAACTGTACACTTAATAATCACTACTAAAGTGGTTAACTTCTCAAAAAGAAAATTCAGCAAATATTACCTTTTATGGATTTAAAATTTTATTTAAGTTTCTTAAATGCATTAATATTGAAATTTTTAGAAAACAACTATAAAACACATTTTATATATTTGTATCTTAACACATTAATGGCTTTATGAGGCATGTGTGACTTGTACAGACGTGTCTAGTTAGGAGGAAATACATAATTGCTTGTTTTCCCGTGGGGTGGCATATATATTTTGATAACTGATCATACTTGATATATTGATATTATTTTATTAGGTGCGATAAAGTATATTAATTTAATAGCATGAGGCACGGGTGACCCTAGTTTAGTTAAAGGTTACTTTTGGACAGTATGAGTCAAATATGTCTCATGCCTGCAATCTGCGGTTTTAGTGCAAACACTTTATTTTTATTGTTGCTGCATTCTTGAAAGTTCTTTGTTCACATAAGTCTTAGTGAATCAGCTAATTTGTCTTACATTTGTGTTATTACTACATATATTTTGTGAGGTAAGTTATTTTGTTTAAAATAGGACTTGGGCCAACTTTATTTCTCATTAGATAAATGAATTTTCTTATAATAAGTATCATCTTATACAAATAGAATGTCTAACTGTCGAAACATTTTGTCAGATAACTTAATTAGTCAGTATATGGATGATTCTAACAACGATGAATCTGGAATATCTGACAATGAGTTAGATGATTCAAACTATATACCATTTTCAGATGAATCAGAATTGTTTTCTGGATCAGAAATCAAAGGTGAAGTGCCTCCTGATGCTTCTGATGATAACTCAGATGCTAGCAATGATGATAATGACAGTAATTATTCTAACATTCAGCAGTCTGCTACTACTGTTTGACACTCAATTGGCTTGACACCTCATAACATCCCACAGTTTCAAGGAAATCAAAAGTTGAACCTTTGTAACATAAATCTGGATGATCCAGATGAAATTTATCAAATATTTGTCAGTGATGATTTCTTAGATGTAATGACTAATGAGACCAGTAGATACAGTGGTACCTCAGGTTACGAACGCCCCAGCATACGAAATTTTCAGGATACGACATGAAATTCGAACATATTTTTGCTCCACGATACGAACAAAAACTCACCATACGACGTTACATTAGTTCACATTTTTCATTTGTTTTTCTTACTACAGTTTTTTTTTTTTTTTTTAATGTATTACTTGGCTTTAATTTGAGTATGTTTTTCGCGTTGGAACGAATTATTTGGTTTTACGTGTAATCGTATGGGGAAAAATGATTCACCTTACGACATTTTCATGATACGATCTCAGTTTCGGAACGGATTAATTTCGTATCCTGAGGTACCACTGTACGCTGATCAGTATTTAGCAAGGGAGATTTTGACATCAAAATCGTTTGTGAAAAGTGGTAGTGATTCCCTACAACCAATGAAGAGATTCAAAGTTCTTGGCCATCATGACTTGCATGGGTCTTTCTCCCTTGCCTAATATCAGACACTACTGGTCCAAAGACCATTTTTATGAGAACCGCCTCATAAAAATCATTAATGCCTCGAGATTGATTCGAAATTTTACTGAAATTTTGGCATTTTGCTGATAATAATAATCTTGACCACAGTGATTGTCTGTACAAAGTTAGAGAAATTTTCACCAAATTATCTGATAAATTCAAGGATGCTATTACTCCAGGAGCACAGATTGTCATTGATGAACTAATGATTGCTTGATGATGTTGACTTCTGTTTCGACAGTACATTCTTGGAAAATCACATAAGTATGGCATCAAAGTCTACAAGTTGTGCATGCTAGATGGGTATACTTACCGTGTTTCCCCGAAAATAAGACAGTGTCTTAAATTAATTTTTGCTCTGAAAAATGCGCTAGGTCTTATTTTCAGGGAATGTCTTATTTTATCCAGGAAGAAGAATTTACATTTATTATTGAACAAAAAAATTCCCTAGTGGAACTTAGACGAGAGTGACGTATATCCGGTGTGTCGAACTGTCGCCTTTTTATAGCGTCAACATCGGACTCGATGACCAATTAGTGCTTACTGAACCGTAGCACTATGCAAATGTCATGTGGCGTGATTCCCGGCCAACCAATTAGCCATCACCAGCCGTAACGTTATGCAAATCTGTGATTCCCAAGCCATAGTCTTATGCAAATCATGCCGTGTGGCGTAATTGTCTGCTGACCAATCAGTGGCTGTACTTTCAAAAAGCGAACGGCCACTTTCAACCATCTGTCGATGACCGTTATGACTAAAAAAAAAACTTTGCTAGGTCTTACTTTCAGGGGGAGGTCTTATATTTCGCAATTCAGCAAAACCTGTGCTAGGTCTTATTTTCTGCGGATGTCTTATTTTCGGGGAAACACGGTATTCCAGCCAGGTCTACATGGGGAAACAAATGTCAGATTTTGGAGTTTTACACAGCCGTGCTGCCTGTATGCAACTGTGCAGTGGTCTTTGCAATGCAGGTAGATCTCTACACTGACAGTTTTTACACAAGTGTAGATTTAGCTTGTGAGTTAATGGCAAGAAATACAAGAATAAA